TCCTATTGGGACTATTGGGTATTGCTATTCTCATCACTCACCACACATATTGATAGTTATATAAAGGCTTTGTTTTATAATTTTAGTTGAAATTAAAAGTTAAATTTTAGTTACATGTACAATGCATATATAGGCTCATGACAAGTATTTCAAAAAATACATTTTATATCTAGTTTGTATACCCCTTCTCTCTTTCTCTCTAAAAAGAACTCTTTCTCTCAAAACGTAGATCAGAATCATTACAAGTAATTTGTTTGTCTTCTAGTTTTACATTAAAAGTAAAAGCTGAGTTTTAGTTACACGTATTATAGGCTGATTACAAGTACTGTAATTTATAATGTACATTTTATTTCTAGTTTGTTAAAATACTTCCATCTCTTTCTCTCTAAAAAAGAATCCCTTTCCCTCTAAAAAATTCTCTTTCTCTCAAAAGAAGTTATTTTCCATATCAGTGACAGCAGTTCTTCTCCTCCTCAAAGTCCTCTCTCTTCCATTTGTCTAGTGGCTCCTGATGTAAATGGTATAGATATCTAATAGTATAAAGGTATCAGCTCTGGAATGATCTTGATGCAGCCTCGTGACACAAGAAAATGTAGCAAAAAATGAAATTATTCCATGACGAATCTTGCCTCCATAAAAAGAATGATCTTGAAATGAAGTGAAAGTCTCCTTTCAGATTTTTGCTTTCCTCCCCACTCTCTCTCTCTCTCTCTCAAAAATTAGTGAATATTCTTCAGTTTTACATGTACAATTTGTCAATATATTTTTAGCTTTACATGTACAAAATTGGCATAGTAGTTTTACATGTATATAATATATTCTTAGTTTTACATGTACAGTTTGATGTAAATAGAAACTTTGACTTTTACATGTACTTATTTAAGCACCCACTTCTCTCAAATCAATTTCACCAAAAAGTAATTATAGCATTATACATTAATAATGAGGAAAGGTAGTATTGGAGTAATAGAAATAAGAAGGAAATAAGAAAAGAGGAATAAAGAAAAGATAGAAAAGGAGGAGAAGAGATAATACTTACCCTTGTTTTTATAATATTAAGGAGAATGTTGTAGATGATCATTAAGCTATTATTATCTTGAGGCTCATTTTTATTAAATATGTGTACCATTATTACCTACAGCGACAAGAAGGCATGCTGTATTTATGCAGCTACCTGACCTCTCTTGAACGCTGCAAACAGCAGTCAGTTTTGACTAACTGTTGACCGACCTGA